CTTCATCCTCTTTTTATCCCCCTCTGACTCTTAACCTCTGATGTATGCTCAGGGAGAGCTGATGGAATTAGGAGAAGGAACAGCTTCATACTCCCCATGGATTGTTAAATTTTCTCAAGTTACAGCAGTAGTTGTATCTTGATACAGCAAATGTTGTATCTATCTGATGTGTCATTAGAACTCCAACAGTTAATTGCCAGATACTGCAGAGACACATAACCTGGAGGCAACCTCTACATCTCTCTTTGCAACACAGGAGCATAAACTTATCTGTAAATGAGTGGGGGTGAGGATGATGGTACTGAAACAAGCCTGAACGGTCACTATCTCTTAGAAATAATTTTTTAAAATTCTATCCAGAATTTATTTTGCTTGGCTGGTGTGTTCCTTCATTATAAATTCTCTCTATGTATTAACCACTGCCCTCTTGGAAGGGACTTGAGACAGCTGTTAATGGTTTCATTGCTGGGGGGGGGGGTGGAGTGGAAAAAAAAAATAAAAATTTTTGTGTGTCCTTGACATGTCACTGGCATAAATAGATACCTTCAGAAAAGGATGTGAACCTAGATGCTATAATTTTTACTTGACAGATTAGGACAACTGGGTTGAGAGTATCTGACAGCTAGATACAGGCTGATCTATAAGACTGAGTAGGGAAGCATGACAGACATATGCATTTATTAAAGGTACATTTACAAAATGTCCTAGTTTAATTTGACAACTCTGCCAGCTAAAACCTCAGGAAGTCCAAGGATATTACTCTGTACATGCCAACATGACACTACAGTTTCAGTAGAAGTTAAAAATCATAAATAAATAGTTTTAGTGTCTTAAATTTAAAAATTGTAGGTACATTTATGGATGCTATAAAACTAGACTATCTTTTAACAAAATAAAGAAGTTGAATTACTTCACATACTTTGTGAATGTAGAAAAAGTGCATATGTATAACATACATACAGTACTGGGTATTATTACTATTATATTCAAGTATATATCAGGAACAATACTTTCATGGCAACATCGTAACATTGCAGTATTTTTGTCATTTACTAAATTGGCAGCTAGCTTGTAGACATTCAAAATGAGCACAAGAAGCACAAGAAACATTTTTCTTTCACTAGAAAGTTATGAGAAAAATATAGACATATTTCTACCGCTGAAACAATAGTGTGTTATACTTCTGAAACTCAGATTTCACACCATAGTCACTCACACTAACCTGATATTTGTCTGTCAGCATTACAGAGAACCAGGAAAACTGTACTTTATGTCTCTCTGGCTCCCTATAAAGACATATGTTATGTGTTTCTTATTGATATAACCAATCTTACAGGAGAGAAAATAAAAGTAGTTAATCATCTGACCTATTTGGCAAAGATCTCTACTTCCAGCACTTTGAGAACTTCAAATACGTGAAATCATACCCCTAATATTCCTATCTGCAGTGCTGGAGCTACAAACATATACATATACCTTCATTTCAGGACAGTATAACTGCAATGGCTTCAAGACAGCAACTGACAAATGTTGTAGTTTAGATGAAAATAAAATCAAGCATATGTGTAAGTCATACTGATTATATGATACTCATCATAAGACTCAGCTGTGACAAACCATGAGAGAGAAACTTCCTCCTCATTTTAAAGAATAAGGGAAATATTTAGGAGATGAAAATTCATCAGGAAAGATGATGAGTTTATTATATTCTTACTAAATTGTTAGTAAGCCTTCGGGCTCTTTATCAAATGTAAAATTTTCAGGGTTGGGGGAGGGGGCAAATAGAAGCATAAAGATTTAGATTTTAATTTTTTTTTGTGACAATGCTAAAGAAAAGAAGTAATTCCACAGAATCTTAATGTCTTTTCTCCCTTGTGTCTTCTGTTGAAAGTCAGAGTTACCAGCTCTTTTTAGAACCTGAGCATGCTGGTACCTACAGCCATCACATTTCTAGTGCAAATAAGTACTGTAGCAAGGCCAGTATAATATCCATGCAGATAGATATGGTAGATCTATGTAAACAGTATTAGATGTGTCCAGAAATCTCAGCAAACTTAGGCTAGGCCAGAGATCTGCACTGTTAAACAAAGTTTTTTGTTCTTTTGCTAATGAAGGTGATTGAACAACCCAAGGTTAAAACCCAAAGAGAACCTTTTGAGAAAACTTTTCCAAGCAGAGTAAGTAGAAAACTCTCTCCTCTCTCTCTAGCATAAGAATTCAAAGGTGGCAAGAAACTATGGGAAAGAGGCAGGCCAGTTGGCAAGATTAAAAAAAAATAAATCAAGAACCCTCATTATTTTATGTAGTGAAAGCATTGGACAATTAAAAGTAACTGAATATAAACCAGTCTCAACTATTTTAAACACATAACTCAAACTGTATTATCTCCCAAAGCAAAATGATGGTCTTGCCCTACTTTTCTGCTGTTCAGCCTTTTTTCACCAGCCTAAGTTTCTTAGAGACATGGCTATAACTCTTATCGTACCCCAGGAAAATCCTTCACACTTTTGCTTCTCATCTTTCTTACTGACAGCGAAGTACCAACTCTAAGAACTGTTGTGCACCAATAGAGCATAAACTAGTAACTTTGATATACAAGGAGAGAAAGCAGTGCACAAGAAGCCAATACATTAAACAAAATTAAAATGGCAAGATATAAAGAAACTCAAAGACATCATTTTTTCTAAAATAATTTTGTTTCCCCCAAAGAGCAGCGTTAATTTGTGGACTAGAGCTGATAAAAATGATCCTTAATAAGTAGGACCACTCATCCACAGGCAGCTTTCACCAAATTTCAAGTCCTGTAAAAAAGAATAAAATTTTTATGTGCAGTTACTGTATACCTCAGGTCCAGTGCATTTACAGTGTATCAGGATAACACAGATATATGCTAATATGCTAATAAAGATGGTAAATGTAGGTAAAGGCACAGATTTGCTATGGGTACAATTTGCTACTCTATTATTTGTGTGGTGTGAGAGCAAAGAGCAAAAAGCTTCTGTCAAGTTTATAAGAAAAAGGTTTTCAAAGAGGTGATTATCACTCAAAATTATTTCAGAAACAGAAAGGAGAAAAGTTTTATCCACTGAAGGGATCTTCTGGTATATGGTTTATTATTGAGAAGCTTATTGCTTTATTGTAAGTAGAAATGACAATTGTAGATGCATTAAGATCTTTCACCTGAGATGATGTCAATAAAGTTCATAGTTATGAACTTAAAGAGTCAGACAAAAACCCAGAAAAACATGAGTAAACAGCAAGAAGAAAATAAACTTTTCAGCTCTTAAAAAGAGAATTAAAGTAATCTTTAGACTGAAGTGCTAGATCCAGGCTCAGACAACACTTCAAGAAATCTCCTCAGCTTTAAATCCCCCAAGTCTTTTAACAGGAGCTTTTACAATTTGTTATGAAGACACAGGCTACAACATGTAGTTAAATCTTCTGTTGAGCAGCCACTTTCATTGTTGAGTTTCTCTTCCTTTTATCCTATTGCTGTTTGTGTTTTTGAGCTACAACAAAATATTTTTATGTTTTTAGATATTAGATGAAAAGTCCCAAAGTTTAACTTGGGTAGAAACTGACAGAAAAATCTGACCACAGATCCAACCCATGTATAATGTTCTTGGACCTCATCATTTTGCTTTCTTAAATTTGGATGGAAAACATAAAAAATAAGCTTTAAGTGGAAATACGTTTGCAAACTCAAGGAGAAAGCAGCTTATGCCATTCTGCAATCACTTCTCAGTCTGTATGTTATTACTGCTATTGAAATAGATGGCAAGAATACAACACCAAGGCTCTGCACATGATTAACTTTTTATTCTTCCTGTAACTTGCTATAAACCTCAAATGAACTCACAGGTTGGCAATAGCATACTTAGAGCTAGATGCCAAATTATATGAGACATTTTTTCCAAACAGCATCACCTTCTTTGGGTTTGGTTCCCTTTCCTTCTCCCACCCTCTTTCTTCCCCTCGTCCCCCAGTAGCTGTTATAGCTGGTCAGACGTTTCATATGTATTTGGGATTTAAATCCTTGAAAAGCTCTCAATCTTAGACACAAAATGCTTCATGAAGAGATTTTTTTTCTTCTTTTCAGCTCCAGGCTTGCTTTTCCTGTTGAGAAATGTTGCAAAAAAAGATACCGATTATCCCAATTGGCCTGTCAGCAAAAGTCCAGACTGGGCTTACTCACCCATTTTCCATAGGTCCCAGAAGAATAATCACATCATGGAGTAACTATGCACCTTCAACTGCTACTTTCTGTGCCATATAATCAAGTAATGCAGGAGGTTCAATGTCCAAGGATTCAGCCTGGTTAGCTGCCTGGTCCTGCAGAAAGCTCGTCAGCTCTCAGGGTCATAAGCCACATATGTCAGACAGAACAGCATCCTGCCTCAGATTTTGTGAATATTCTCAGTGCAATGTCCAAGGGTTGTTGCTAAAGGCCACATTTTATAAAAACACCAAAAGACTTCAAATACCTGCAAAGGGTTTGCTCAGTACAGGACTCAGAGATGAAAGCCTGACAAGATTTTCCAGAAACACTCAGCTTTAAGACAATAAGGCAAGAGGTGCCTGAGAACTAAGCTCCTTCAGGTAACAGTCAACCTAGGTACAGTTGAGGTGAGGACTAGAAGCCCAGTTTTGCTGAAATCCGGTGGGTCTACCTGCTAACATTGTCCCTGACTACTGTTTGAGTATCAGGTCTGATCTCTGAGCAATGAAAGCAAGCTCATGCTTTTTGGGTTTTGTTTCTTAAGCGCTTTTTTATTTCTTAGAAAGAAGGACAGACATTTGGCCAAATCATCTTCTTGTTAACATGCTTTCATTTGTTGAACTCATTCCCATTACACCTAGGAGAAAAATGAACGCACTTGCACAGTAGTGTAATATGAAATCTTGATACCATATTGAAACAGCTAGACATTTCAATTCTTTGCTGATAAATTTGTTCCTTTGAAAATGTGGAACATACTTCAAAAATATCAATGTGATGCTTCGGTGAACATCCCTTTATTGAAAACCAGAGTAACGATACAATTCTGGTCACAGATGAATGGCCTGACAAAGTCCAGATACAGACAGTCAAGGTCCTGCTCTGCTTTCACATTCTCAAGACTGATTACAGTGCAAGTGACCCCCCATGCACCCCAGAGAATAACTGGCCTTTCATTTATAAATCCTTTAGGTCCATTTTGTTCTGATGATGGAATCTTTCCTCTTTTTCTGCTACCAACATTGTTTGCTATCTATATAACTCTTGGAACATCATGACGATTTGCCGAGAAAGGGGGATAGCTCTACCTGCATTACTAGAAATGGGGTGAAAATGTGTAATATTGAAAAACAGACCTGCTCAAGCTATTAGCAGTTGCAAAGAACACTGACTCTCAGACATCCAGTCCACTGTGCTATAGCTTTTCAGGTTACGCTGACAGTTACTAGGTATAATTGAGATTGCACACTGACAATACAGAAAGAAAGAGAAAAAAACACTCTGAAAGAAAACCTTATTTAGAGAAAGTGTTAGAACAGAAGGATTGAAAGACAAGACTAGTGACATGGGGAAAGGAGAGTCTGAGCAACAGCATAGAAATGAAGATATCTGAAAGTAAGAGAAGAAACACAGCACCTTCAAGTAACAAAGCAGTAATTTTATTTGTTTTGCATATAAATCAAGAGAAGACGTATCAGAATTTAGGTGAGGTGTGACTGTCAGCTAGAGTTTTCAGGAAATAAAGATAAAAAATTATTCAAGTTGTGTAATTTTTGTGTTTTTCTACCTTCATTTGGCACCCTGGAGTCAAAATTTGCACTGAAAGCCCTTGCCTTTACAGTTTTATGTTTTCATTTTGCTGGTGGTTCTTTCCTGGGGGTTTTGCATGTGCAAATGGCATAACCAGCTACTAAATCTGAGCCTCAACTTCATTTCCTAGTTTCCTTGGAGTCCAAAAACCAGGAACAGAGTATTTTCTTCTGAGAAACTCTTCCATTACCCTAGGTTAGAATGCTGGCCAAAACTTTTAACACCTCCTAAGACCCCCTGTTTTTTGACCAAAGACCTTGGAAGGCATTTCTGTCAGCTGGTGTTGAGCTTAACATCCTTTAGAGCTTGCAAGACGTCTCCTGACATCCCACTGCACAACTCCAGAGGTGCTGAGGGACTGTGGCAGCCCACTGCGCCAGCCAGGCTCTGGTGGAGTGGTGGCTATGGTCTCTCTCTGCTGACCTTGTTGGGCACCTGCAGTGCATGACCCACCTTGAGCTCAAGTCCTACCACTATGACCATGGCTAGAGGGGGGCAATTTTTCTCCAAAGTTGTTCACCTCCTGCTCAAATCAGTGAGTCTTGTGTGAACAGGGCTCCTTCCCCTGTGCCTAGCTGCTCTGAAAAGCAGAAAACAGATGACTGAGTAAAGCATCATCTGGGATATTAATAATATCATTTCCAGGCTTCTAAGGTTATGAAGACTTCAGCCAATACAGAGTGTTTATTATGTAACTGTTCCCCGCTAGTTTAGATATACAAACTTGTAGGGTTAAAAAAGTATATTACATTGGAATGATTATAGAGAATATTTGCATTCCTGTTTGAATGGATCTCTTCTAGGTTTGAGAATACTGAATAATTATGGAAATCATATGCATATGTGTGATGTAAAAAACACGGTACGGTGGAGAAAGTACGGGGAATCTACAGTTACATGGTGTAAAGAGTCTACAGCTGCACAATTCACTGTAGAAAGAATAACTTCAAATGGCAGCAAACTAGACACAAAATTAAAAGCTTATAAAAACATCACTGTTCACAGAATAAGAAAAGGACAGATTCATAAATGTATATGGATAAGTAGCAAGTTAAAAAGTGTGATAGAGAAGAATATATTTTCTGTATTTCTTTCTTACTTCCAGTACCATTTCACATCTAAAGATCCATTAGGCTACACTGATCATAAAATCACAGATTGGTTTGGGTTGGAAGGGATCTTAAAGATCCCCTAGTTTCAGCCCCTCTGCATTGGGCAGGGACACCTCCCTCTATACCTTCCTCGCCTCCCTAAGGGTTCCAAACTCCACCATTTCTTGGTTGCACCATTATGATGACCATCTGTGTAAAAAGTTAGCTTCAAATGACACATGAATTTTAGACGTACACTATGAGAGGGAAAATTTATGACACAGTAATGTTCATCAATATTTAATATATTTAGAATTGTTTTTCAGACCTGCAATGATGAAAACAAGCTTATGTCACATCTGCAAACTTGAAACAAATTATTTGACTTGAGGAATTAGGTTATGGTTGCCATTGATTTCTAATTTTGCAAAAAAAACCACCCCATGACAGCAGGCAGCAACAGAAATTATAGGTTCATTTTTTTAAGGTACACCTCAAAAAAGATACAAAAGCCAGTTTTGCTAAGAAGTGCAAAGTGGTAGCATTATTCTGTTCTTTTGCTGCAACCTGTGTCCTGGGTTCAGCAGTAGCAGTCATGTTTTTTCCTTTGTGTTAACTAGAATACGATACCACCGGCCAAGAAAACGAGTTCCACCCGGAAGCTCCTGTCCTTCCGGGTAACTCGTTTTCTTGGCCGGTGGTATCGTATTCTAGTTAACACAAAGGAAAAAACATGACTGCTACTGCTACCACCAACGCTGTTCTCAAAACTAGAAGTCAAAACCCAGGACAACCTGTTAAAAAGCAACTCAGGTTATCTTTTAGCACGAAAACACTTCAGAAGTATCCTTAACAAAATTAGATGTAAATGAATTAATAACCAGAAAAAAGAAGAGAAATTGAATGAAAAGGAATACCTGATAAAGCTGGCATGCTTGCTAGTTTCATGGCAAATTTCTCCAGTATTAGCTGTTCTATCACAAAATACGTTCCTGTTGCATCCATGAAATTTAACACGTTTTAATAAAATTAACAAATTAATACAGCAGTACCAGCAGTTGGCTATCTGTAAAGTTCAACATTGAATCATAATTAAGTCAGGAAAATCTGACAAGTGTAAGAAATCACACAAAGACAATACAGAAAGTAACCAAACACCCTTAGTATCACAAATTCGGTCAAATCTGGCACTGGTTTCTGTTACTTCTGTTTAAGTTCACCTGGAATAACAGTCCCCAATGCATCCTTTTTTTCCAATTAGAAATTTAAGATTTGAATTATATCAATTAATACAACAATAGTTTAATTATATTAAATCACATGAAATACACAATGAAGAAGAGTGTGTGTTCAGATGATCACCCTTAATATGTGTCACATATTAAATAAATTAATAAAATAAGAACAGTGGTGCATTTTCTTTCCCATGAAATGTTATGTAGCTATTTCAGCAGCCACTGTTGGTTGGCAGATCGGTTTAAGGAAAACAGAGAATGTACAGCCTTAGATATAATTTCTTTTCCTAGGGCACCAGGTGCTTTAAATGCCATCAAAAGGACGCCCTAGGCAGTGCCATACTGTCCAACATGGCTTGGCATAGGTTAGCTCAAAGCCTTTGTGTCTTCGCAGACTTTGATTAAGGGCCAGTGTTAGAACTCCTATGGGTTTTTACTTGATCCAGTGTAGCATAGGGATTTTATTTTTTTTTCCCATCACAGCTGCCAAAAATATGCCAGTTAAGATAATTACATTTCAATTTAAATTGGTAATTTAATGGAAAATTTTAAACCAGGATGTAGGACACAATACATATTTCTAATCCTATTCCACAACAATACTTTTTGTCTGTTGTAGATAATTTAGGGGCCCAGTTCCATGTTTTTGGCACTCAGTGAGAACAGGGAATTTTAGGACTCCATTGTTTTGGAGGATTGTCTCTTCCATCTATTTTAAACCTTCAAAACTCACTTTGATTTAGTTTTATCCATTTACTGTTTGCTGCTTCATTAACTACCTGTCTTTATGAGCCACAATACACGTAATAAACAAATTCTTCCTGAATATATTTGCTCCCTTTTAGAAGGATAAGTAGAACCCAAGATATTCTGTCTGCCACTTCTCTGTTGTTTTCATTATTTGTTTCGAGGCTGACACTGAAGCCTGGCAGTCGCAATATACTGTAAGGGGAATAATTTTCCTTTGTTTAGAGAGCAGTGTGTGCCGTCATTTACATAATAAAATCCTCACACAAATAACAGATGGTGAAGAGGCACTCATGTTGCCACAAGTTGGAAGCATGATACAGTTCCTTGATGAACTCGTTTCTCTTGCTTTTGCCTACAGATGTCTACCAGCTATTAAACCTTGGGGATTAGTCAGCTGGTGAAAGGTTTAAAGACAAGCAAAAATCTGTCTACTGAATTTTGCTGCTTCCAGGAGTAGTGAATGTTAAAACCTGATAGAAATGCACAATCCATTGAAAACAGTTTCCACTACCATAAAAAGTAAATAACAATCTATTTTTGACATTCACTGAGCTGAAATGGTTCACTATAAAAGACAGAAAATACCATTATTGTACTGAGTCTGAGATGTGTTCTGTCTTTTTGGAATCCCCTTCTGAGCAGAAGCTGGGGGACAGAGTGAGCCATGCTAATGCTGTATATTAGCAATATCAGCTCTTGGATGCATTACCATTAATTCTATGTGCAAATTAACTGCCTTAAAACAAACGTCTGTCACTAGAAATAACAGCCTGTGTACAGTGCAGTGGAATAAGATCACACTACGCTCCCTAATTAGAGTTAATGGGTCTGCTTCTGATCCCATTTACACTGATTTTGTGATCATGTAATCCATGCTATCATCTCCAGCGGAGCTGCTCTTTGAAATGAATCAGTCCCTGGGATGACACAGAGGGTATTTAAAGGAGTGGTCATTTAGTTAAGTCTAAATGTTGCTCCTTAGATGCACATTTGTATATTGCTGTCAGAGCTGGATTGCTGCAATCTCAATGCAGGGGCTGAGATGGGTGAGATAGATATGCAAAACTATGGGTGTATCTTATGACCTCTGTTTTACCTGAAATGTGGCATTTCATACAGCTGTATGGACAGAGCAAATACTTAAAACTTGCTACGACCCTTAGCATCTACAGAAAAATAAGTAATTTGATTAAAAATTTGTTACCTCACAACTTTGTTCTCATCATGTTAACACACTTTGGTCTGTGTGCATTAGCATATTAATGCTTTCAAATGCTGAAGAGACCTACAGCCAGCTCATTTACCTTCCTGTGCGCTAGAAATTTGGCCAGAATCCAGCAATCTGTTTTCCCATTCAACAATATATGCTTGTTCATATTGACAAACACTACTGATTGAGAGTGCAGCTTCCATTTTATGAACACCAACATAGGGTTCAAATTAGCAAATATTCCTCCTTCTGGCTCTGCCAAGGGGCAGGCAGGGCAATAGGGGTGGTTTATAGTTGTGGGCCTGCTTATGAGCTATCCTATGTCGAGGAAGCCCTGTGCTCATGCTGCAGTGCCAGCAGTAGGAGCCTCCTATGCCCAGGCTAAGTGTGAGCACCTGAAGACACCTCATTGCAGGAAGGGTGGCCCAGGGCATGGGCAGTCAGCTAGCCTTGGTTGCAAGTCTAGTGGTATTCACCAAGCACCTCGACACATCAGGGTCACCCTTTGTCATGCCCCTATTTCCTTTGGAAACACATGCCTTGTAGTCCTAAATAACCAACCCTGAAGCTGCTGATGTTAGTAAAAAGCAGAAGCAGCAAAATCTCTCTAAGCAAGAAACTGCTGCTGCAACCTCCTCTCCTATCTCACCTTCTCTATTTGGTTATTTGGTTCTGAAAAACAAGTAGACTGTAAAATTCTGTTTTATGCCTCCCATGTTAAAATCTACAGACATAGAAGCTGTACTTAATAGAGCTGTTAATTGGATGCACCCTCTTCAGGGAGATATGCATGTGGACAAGATCTCTACTCTCTAAAATTTTTGAAATATCCCAGACCAAACAGAGCCCAAATCTTTAAGGTCTGCATGAGAAAGAAGAGTACGTTATGGTGGTTTGGAGCTCTCATCCAGAATGTGGATTCACAATTACCTTTGATTAACCTGTTTGGGATTTGCATTTTTTTCTGGTTGTTGCTTTTGGGGCTTTTGTTTTGTTTTTTTTTTGCCACATGAGCCAGTCCACAAGGTTAGAATATCTTGAATTGTCAGATTTTTAGTTAGTACATTTTAAAGAAAAATTGCAGGTCTGATCATCCCATAGCATGGAGCCCTGACGATCTACAGTTTTTAGAATCCAGGAAAAACACTATTATTTTTAATCCCAGTAGCTGACATGGTGGCTGAAGCTGTCACTCACTGTGTTCCGAAATTCATCAAGTTAAATATTTGTCCTGGTACCTAAGGATCCCTTTGGAGAAAATGCCTGCATTCATCCCTTACCAATAGATCACTGACTCTGTAGAGTCATCTCCCAAAGTGGGACACTCCTGCTTTAGAGTTTTCCCCAACCTATTTCTGGATCAAAAGGAACTTCTACCTCCTTCCAGAGATTCCCACATCAAAAGTGACTTGTTACTTTTTGGGTATCTTGGAACAACATATCAGGCTGCTGTTTTGCAAAACCATCATACCCCATAGGAATATCATGTATTAATGCAGAAACATGAACCACTTAATTTGAAATCACTTGTATCTCACGTCATAAAAGCAAATACAAATCCAGAGCCACAGAGTTACATGAGGATACAAGCAGCAAAAGGGAAATAAATTTCTTTCATATCAAGGTCAAATCCAAAAGGTATCTCTCCCTCTCTGGAGATGCTTTACCTGACATTGATTATGTTACCAGGAACTTATTACTCCTTATGCAGTTTTTACATCTGCAGGTTATACTCACAGAAGGGAATATTATGTTCCACTCAGGAAGCCCACTGAATTTTCTTAAGTTAGGAAGACAGTTTCCATTTCTTACCTTTCTCCTTCTCTCCTTCACCATTCCCCGGATTAAAGAAATCCAGAAACCTGAATATTGAAAAGGGCTGAAAAACGTCATCTGTGTGGTTTTCTTAGGTCATTTGAAATAGAATTTTGATTATTTTCCTCCCACTGACAATAAAAATACATTATTTTCATTTCTACGTGTTTTGCATTAATTAGAGATGCATAGATACAGCTATGTACCACACATTTTAATAGTGAAAAGTACATATGCTTGTAAGTTTAATAATGTTTGTCAAACAAACGATACTGGGACTAAAGAATAGATGTTAGCCACTGCATAATATGGATGTGCTTGTCAAGCTATAGCTAACATATGTGTTAAAGTTAAACCTCTACCACAGTTATAGCAAGATAAAAATAATATGCTTTAATAATTAAATAGTGACAGTGAAAATTAAATTAAAAAAGTGACCAAGATTTCTTGTTGTCTGATTGGATTTCTCCAGTTATAGATTACAAAAGTATCAGTGTTTTGGTCATAAATAAATCTCAAGACATTTACTTCATTTTTATGCACAGACATTAAACCTGAAGCACCAGAATCACAATATGAATAACTGAGGACCATATTTAAGTGTCTTCTTGTAACAAACAGTGTCTTAATAGTAACATACAACACTGACTGAGAAATCAAATATCTATGTATCTTCCATAAATCTCTCTCTTTTGCATTCCCTAGAATATGCAAAAGAATGAGTACAAGGAGAGGAAAAGCACCCCATACTATCCTGCTGTTAATTCAGGATTTAAACATAACTTTTAGGTTTTAAAGAAAATAATTTGTAGAAAAATGGTACTTAAAGCAATGGTAATGAGCCAACTCTAGGAAAAAAGGGGCAGCTGTTTTGATAAACACTTTCACCTGAAAAGGCGCTGGTTCAAGCAATTGAAAAATTTGCCCTCACTCTCCCTTAATTATCCAGAAACACAGTTCATAACACCTTTTTCATGGTATTTTGTATTTCTAGTTCTAGACTTCTAGAAATAATGAAAACTAAAAAAAAAAACAAAACCAACCAACCAAAAAGAAAAAAAAGCCTCAAACAAAACCAACAAACCCAAGCCCACAAAACCCCTTATCTTAAAAGATTATCTAATTTTATAGAAATTAGCATGTTTAGTAGGCTAGTTTATGGTTGGCATTAAAGTCTTCCTTCCCAGCAAAAGGCAATGAGTTGTACAGTACTGCATGACCATGGCTGCATCTGTCTTGTTAACTCTTTGCTGCTGAAAAAAACATTACATTTTAAGCAATATTTTTATCAGACCCTTTATTATACTTTTTATTCTTCTTTTGAGGTGTCAACTATTACTTTTTTT